ACAGAAAAGTAGGTGAAGGGAGACATCAGACAGTGTAAGATAGGACAAAATAATAATAATTTATAAATTATCAAGGGTTCATGAGGGAGGGGGGAGGAGGGGAATGAGGAGCTGATGCCAGGGGCTTAAGTGGAGAGTAAATGCTTTGAGAATGATGAGGGTAAGAATGTATACAAATGTGCTTTACGCAATTGGTGTATGGGTTGTAATAAGAGTTGTATGAGCTCCCAATACAATGATTAAAAAAAAGAAAATGATGGCAACATATGTACAAAAATGCAATTGATGTATGGATGTATGGATTGTTATAAGAGCTGTAAGAGCCTGCAATAAAATGATCTTTTAATGAAAAAAAGAAAGAAAGAAAGAAAGAAAGAAAGAAAGAAAGAAAGAAAGCAACTTTCTCATGGGAAGGGAGCCCAACCAGTGCAGTGGGTTAGGCTGCTAGCCACAGGGCCGGAGGTTCAAATCCACCAGCTGCTCTGCAGGAGAACAATGAGGCTGCTACTCCTATGGAGATCTTCAGTATCTGAAACTCCACACAGCAGGTCTACTGTGACTAGAGGGTCACTCGGAGATGGGAGTGACCCAGTGGCAGGGGTGCGGAGATAATCCATGACTGATCTTTGATGTTAAGTGACAAAACTGGCTTCCTCGGGTCATCAAGGAGGCTCTCTCCAAACAGAACTCAGATAAAACTCCAGATCCTCCTAACAAGGTGGGTAGAAAAGCACCAAGGACAAGGAGTGCCCCTCAAGCCCACCGCTGACCACGAGAAGCTGACCTTGATCCTGGGGCACTGGGTCTGTCTGGCTGCTTCCTCTCAGGGTCTTAAACACCAAGCTCCCTGCCATCCAGTTGACTCTGAGAGTGTAAAGTCTCATCTTTCTCCTGCAGAGTGGCTGGTGGGTTCGAACTGCAGATCTTGTGGTTAGCAGCCCAATACATAACTCACTTCGACACCAGCGCTCCTACTCTCAGGGTCTAAGCACCCCACAATTCTGACAGTCACAGAATATCTCTTCTAAAAGGTCATACTTCAGTTCCTGCATCATAAAATCCAATTAGCATCTGCAAACCTCCTTTCCAAGACACTAATTAAACACACACAGAGTAAAAGAACAACAACAAAAAGACACAGACCTCCAACACAAAAGGCACAGGAGAGGGAGCCAGCGGAGGAAGTGTAAGTACCTTCTAGAACAGCAGTTCTCAACCTGTGGGTCTCAACCCCTTTGGGGTCGAATGACCCTTTCACAGGGGTTGCCTAAGACCATCGGAAAATACATATTTCCAATGGTCTTAGGAACCGAAACACCGCTCCTCTGTCTCCAGGAGGGTCCGTCCACATGCAGATCCGCCAACATGCAGATCAGCCCACATACAAGTACCCGGCGTGAAGACTATTAACCATGCTACACCATGCTTCAAGACAAAATTTCATTTATTTGTCATCAGAAATAAATATTTCACAATATATAATTACATATTGTTTTTGTGATGAATCACTATGCTTTA